AGTCCCATAAGATAAATCTGATCTCTACCATGGTCCACCGTGTGCTGATGAAATGTTCTTGCAAATTTGATCAAGAAATAGTGAACATCTATGGCATTTTCTACGACAACGGTTATCCTGAAAATGTTATCAAACGTACGGTTGAACGCAAAATTAAATGCTTCACGCCGTTCCGGTAGTTTTTAGTCTTTCCTTGAGTCCTGTATATTTAAAATTGCCTTGGTTGGGCAGGAAAGGTCAGACACTAGCTCCCATCCCTTTTTATCTTCTCCCTCGCTTTATTAACAAATATTTCACTCATAAATTCTAATTTTAGTTGTGGTTGTTAACTTTCCTAAAGGTTTCTTTTGACGGAAGAGCTCACAAGAATGTCTTCGTACATATTTAAATCTACATTATTTACATTATTCGGACTCTTGTCCTCATCTTTTTCGCCATATCTATCACAACGTTTCGCTCACTGGGGTAGACTGTTCTAATTCCACGTGCCATGTTTGATGGATGTCAGTTATCAGTTATCTCCTGTTAATTTTCCCTCTGAAAGTTCTCCACTGCCTTAACCGGAATAAAGGGTTCGGTTCGACATTCCAACCACCTGAAGAAGGCCGGAGCGTACAACGGCCGAAACGTTGTGATAGATATGGCGAAAAAGATGAGGACAATAGTCCGAATAATGTAAATAATGTACATAATACCTCATCTCAGAAATATAGACATATTTAAATCTCTATATATGTTCTGTGGAATCAAATTTTTGTGCAAATACATACATGGCCCGGCGTTGCCCGTGCTTGATTCAAAAATCGTACGACTCATACAGCAATCGCTATCACTTGACATAAAATATTTTTGCCCTTCCTTGCCTTTAGAGGAGTGCTCTTTGCCGTGCTGATGTTGCTACATGCCTTACTTCTTGCCTATATCACACTGCCAACTTTTTCTAAACTCTATAGTAAACATTAATTCTGTTACAAAAAAAGAACTAAACAAAATAAACACAATACGATCAGCTTTAAAAAACCGGAAAAAACATTTTTATGGGTTACCGATTGTCGATTTGCACTCTGTTTGGTGGGGGGGGGGTTCTCAGAGTTGACACTTCACATGATGACTCCCAATGGCCTCTTTATAAATCCGCTCGGTTTTCGCTAAAAACTGACATGCGGTTCAGAAGCAATCTCGATTTTCTGCGCTGTTTAGGGGTCCGTGGTCATGAAACTTCTGGACAACATTTCTAATGGTAGACTCTAAGAGGGTGTCAAATTTGGTTGAAATGCGAGCATTCCTTCTGTAAGTAGAATTTTTTCGATTATCGATTTTTTCGATTATCGATTTTTTCGGAACCTGATTCTGAACTCAAAAACCGGGCTCCGTCATGTCCTTACGGCAGCCATTTGAAAACCGCATCGAAATCGGGTGAGAAATGCGGCCTGGGCGAGGTAACAACGCCCACGACAGACACACAGACAGACAACATGAGAAATATAGATAGTATATATATATATATATATATATATATATATATATGATAGGATAAAGAATAAGTAGGAAACAGATCTCAATCTAACATGGTTTACTTTATTAAAGCTTTGTCAGAAATCAAGATAGCAATGATAAAAAAATGATAAAAAGCAAAGACACACAGATTAATGGTATGTTGTGGTTGGTTAGTTCTTATTGGTTAGATACGTGTTGCGTATCGAGCCGGTACATTTCTTCTTGGTTATTTCTTATTGGTCAGATACGTGACACGTACCTGCCCACTTAAAAATAACCGAACACAACATACCATTAACCTGCGTCTCCTTGCTTTCTCTCATATCTATCTTGATCACTGACGGAGCTTTAATAAATTAAAAAAATGTTAGATCATGATCTGTTTCCTATTTGTTCTTTATCCTATCATTTTATCGGATTCCTGTCCATACGTGATCTATCTATCTGGATGTAATTCTATCTATCTATCTATCTATCTATCTATCTATCTATCTATCTATCTATCTGTTTATATTTCTGGATGAGGTATTGTAATTATTTACACTATTTACATTGTTTGGACTGTTATTATCTTCGTTGCCATATTCACAACTTTTCGGCCTTTATACGCTCCGGCCTTCGTCAGGTGATTGGAATTTCGATCTGAAACCTTTATTTCATCCACAGGAGTAGATTGTTCTAGTTCCACACCTCTTTCTTACTAATATTATCAAGAAGTCACCTTCTTGTCAAATGGAACCTATTGAAATTCGAACTCGGGTCTCATGCTTGGTATGTTAATGTTGTAACCACTCGGCGACGAGACCATGTAAAAGTGCAGCTGTAATTAGCATACGAATTAAAGACAGTAACAATTTACTTAAAAGAATGAATTTTCTACAAAGAAATAGATTTTTAAGTCTGTCTGTGATAAAATATACTCAATATATTTTTCTTGTCTATCGCAGGTGAAAGTGTGGTTTCAGAACCGCCGTACGAAGCATAAGCGAATGAAAGCCGAAGAAGAAGCCACCTCAGCGTCAGCGAGTACCACACGTGAAGAGCCCACGTCATCGTCACGCGCACGACCCAAAAAAATGGACATTGATCCAACAGGGATCGAACCGATTGAATATGATGGGTCAGACGAAAACTCTGACTCGAACCAATGAGAACGGATACATGAAGACGGAAGAATATTTGCTGCTCGGATATTGAGTTGCCAGGAGACGGCAAAAGAAATTTAAACGCGAAAATAAATTACAACAATCATGATATCGAACAAAAAGTATGCAAAAAAAAAAAAATATATATATATATATATATATATATATATATATATATATATATATATATATATATAGTAGTAAGAATGGCAAAGCGACGGCTTTTTTTTAAGACGTGTATCTTTGTAAAGTGTTCTACTGAAGTTAAATTTCAAAGAACTAAGACTAAAGTATTTGCCATCCATTTTAACTAATAATATAAAATACAATTTGCCGGTATACATTAAAAGAAAAATATTTTAAAGAAATATTGAATGATTGGACACGTATAGATGCTTCTTGTTTTGTAACACTAAATGTGATAATTATTATTTTTTTATTTTTCAACATTCATGGGGGAAAAAGCTAACAATAATTCTGTTTCTATAAAACAAAATCAAGTGTCAATAGAAATACTGGTAATAAATATTTATGTTTTTAACATTCACAAAAATATAGACGACGTGGAATTGGAAATGCCATATCGTCGATTTGGTTTGAACACTTGTCTGCATGAACTGAAACGAAAGACCTTGCACCCGATTGAAAAAAAATAACATAAGGTCACGCTTCTTTTTCGTTCATATTTTAAAATATTAGCGTAGCCACCTTAGTATAAATATGGTTAGTTCAATTTTAAACCCAGTGAGCAATCCTGCTGGTCTTGTAGCTTTTATATTCTCTATGGTGATTTTATTTGCATGTTTGTAAAAATTGGTTAATCTAAGACAATTTCTATCAGTAGAGTACAAGAAAGATGAAAGCTGCGACTCATATTATAAAGACGTATCTTTTTATCGTCCTTTCTGGTGGATATTTATGCGCTGAACTGGCTGTCTAGAAAATCTCAAGTCTTTCACACATCATTCCTTCTTGTGTCAATTCGTTTGGAGCCGAACTATAAAACTAAAATTTACAGAACTATTACGAAGATCGAATCATTGGGACAGTATATATTCATAATTACGTTGTGTTATATGGTTTGAGACATTTGCATCAGTCTGTATAAATGTGCTTGTAAAATCGGTCAAAAATAGGTAAACTGAATTGATTTTCTTTATCAGAACAAAACGGACTCAATCAATAAAACCTTTTCAGGGCAAATCTCTTGGAACATTATCTTTTTTTGTTTGGGTCACTGACCAACAGGAAGAAAAACCAAACTTTACAGACAGGATCTTGTATCTTATAAATTGCTTTCTAAAAATCACGGACAAGTGAGATTCAAGATCAAGTATCGAAAGATCATAAAACCGGCAAAATCCTTTTTTTTTTTAGAAAAAAATTAGCATAAAAATAAAATGAAAGCAAAAGAAACATTTTTATCGTTTTTTTCATGAGAAATAGAAATAATCCTGCATATTTGCTTCTTTCAAAACTTTTGAACAGTTTGAAACAGGGAACCCACAGTTTGTTCCAGACGTTAACTGAGAGAAAACACCCATCACGTAAGACAGTGATTTCTTGTATTGTTAACAGACAGCACTGAAGTCGATGGCAAGCATTGTCAAATCATCCACAGATCAGTCAGTATATTTCGATCTATACCGATTGATTTTGGGCACTTACTAAAATGTGTTTCACTTGAAAACGTAAAAAAAAATCTGCAAACTGAATGAACCCCAAAACATTGTTCTACTGTTTTTCATATTTTTCATTAACTCTTTTTTTTCTTTCTTTTGAAAATGTTTCGGTGTCATTGTCTTATTTTAAGGGTGTAAAGACATGAATTGCCAGGCAGTAGAATGCCTTCTCCCCTCCAACACATGCACAAGTATTTGTGTATTTGGAATTTGAACAAAACACCCAATAAATGTTCATTAAAGTTTTAACAAAACTGTTGACATTGTCTATAATTGTGAAAACAGGTTTTTGGACAATTCGACCCAATCTTTGAGTGATTTTCCCCCCACAATATCTCAGCCGATCCATTCTACGATTTTCTTTAGGTGAGCTCTTACTTTTATTTATTAGTACCAGTAGGGTCTGCTGTGCAGCACGCTATATTTTGCTGCTGAAGTTTCTGTAGCAAATAGGCTTTTATTCCTGAGTGGAGTTGCAAGCCTCCAACCCAATCATTTTTTACTTCAGGATTGTCTTTCTCCTAGACTGGTTTCTACCCAAGGCTTACAGAATCCAGTCTGTACAACAGTTATTTAATTCGGGATTAATGCTGGGGGTTGGGGAAATATGGATTCATGCTTTTCCCAAAGGTATTTATGCGAAAGTGAATGCAACAAACTCAACTGGAATTTGAACTCTTCACGCCGATTCCACTTTCCGCGTCGATAATCGCTGCGCTGCACCCACATCAGGTGTATTTTACGAATTATGAGACGGTCGCTTTTTTTTTCTGGGGGAGGAGATTCGAATAATAGGAATCGCCGATGGAGACTGGTGAAACTAAGAGAATCTGCACACATGAACCTTTCGGCAAGATACGTAAGACAGATTGATGCGGCTATCATTGCCCAACAGCGACACAGGAGGGGAGACGTTAAAAATCTGGAAAAAGCTGTGCTGCTAGAAGTGAACATCTTGTTTAACAAACTTTGCTGTTAATGTTTTAATTTTCACTTGGCTACCGTTTTTTTTTTAATTATTTTGCTTTGAATTCCTGAAATAAAAAAAAGAAATCGTCAATTTTAATTCCTGTAGAATACATGATGACTGTAGAATGGATAAACTAAAACTTCAGTTTCTCCGAAAATCACTTGTGGCCATATATTTAAGGTCAGGTACAAAGAAAAAAAAAACAAAAAAAAAAACACTTTTAACTCTGACAGAAGAACAATTTTTATTCTAAAATCTGCTTGGTGGCTGCAATAGGTACGTATATATGGCGGTTTTAGTCAAAGTTTAAATCTGGATTCAAAACTCTGGATTTCAAATACCGTATTAAAAGACAAGTCCATTCCACATGGAAAATTGCTGAACTTCTCTTGCACCAATATCTAAAACTAGTACATTCGAATATTTGTAAAACCTACGATACTAGAAATCTATAAACTGGAATTCGTGTAAAATAGCAGGATATTTAAATTATTTCATTTAATTTTTGACGTTTCGGTCCTTTCAACAGACATTATGAAAAAAAAAAAATTTAAAAGTCTTTACCTTGCGAAAATTGTTACTTAAACAAAAAAAACAAAAAAACAAAAAACAAACAAAAGACGCTGTGGTTAATGTAAAAACAAATTAAGAGCCACTAAAATTTAAAGATATATATGTGAACAAATCAATTTGTACATAGGAAAATATATTAAAACAAATCGTAAATATGGAAATTTGTTAAAACAAAGACAATTACAGTGAGAAAATAAAGCGTGTATATCCAAATAAATTAGTAAATACTTATACTTAAAAATAGAATGTATGACTATATATTATTCAGATGTTAAAAAATATAAACTTTATTAAAACATTTAACCAGGATTTCTTTTAATATTATTTTATCATAGCGAGAAAAGGTTATGATATGCTACAAAAACCTATTTTTGATTGAATTGTGATATTGCAAATTCAATAATTCATCTGGTTAGTTTAAGATAAAAACAATTCAGCATATTGGCGTCTTTAAAATCGAATATTCAGATGTTAAGGAGTGTATAACATTTTAGTAAAAAAAATTTACCAGGACCAGTTTTAATATTATTTTTCCAGCTAGAAAAGGTGGTATGTTACCAAAACTTTCTTTTTCAACGATCAAGTTGAATTCAGATATAACAGTTCAATAATTCTAGATGGTTTATGAATAAATGTCACCATATTGGCGTCTTGGAAATTTTGAAATATTTAATAAGAGAAATATATATATATATATATATATATATATATCCCCCTCGATATTTGCTACTGGTGGTGTAAATTATAATATATATATATATATATATATATATATATATATATATATATATATATATATATATTTAATTTGTTTAATTGGTTGTGTAAATATATGTGTGTATAATACGCCATTTGTATTTATATCTTTTTTATTTGTAATGTCTTTTTTGTACTAGAGTTATCTCCCTTGTATTGGTGGCACTCTCTAATCGTGTCTTTATTATGACTGTTTACGAAGCCAGGTGAAAAGAGGGACTTTGTGAAAAACACAGGACAATGATAATAGTATTTGGAAAATATTTTTAAAAACTGACATGTGAAACATTTCTAATACAAGTAAAGACTTAAGAAAATAACCAGTTTCATCTGAGCCGCCATTGTTGATTGCATGGATAAAAGAGTTAATAAATAAAATCGATTGAATTGGGTGACATGCTCTGTAGATTCATATAATCAATTATCTTTAATTAAATTCACTTTTTGATGATTCAAAATCAAAACTTTGTTGTTTTTTTTTTTTTTTTTTTTTTTTTACAAAAGAAGGCTTCTGGAAAATTATTTGTCGAAATTGTCGTTTTTTATATCATTTTATCAGTTAACTCTAGCTATTTCAACTGTAACATGATGAGACCTTGCCGTCATTCTTGTAGTATGCTTAAATTCATAAAGACTAGGTAACATAAAGGAAATTTCAACCGAACAATTAGCATGAAAGTATTTATAGAAAAGGCCAAGGGAAGCTACAATGAGAAAGTGAATGAAGCTGAGATGCCAAGTCAGGAACAATAACATTGCCGATTCTTCTTTGGATTTTATCAAGAATCTCTAAATATATAGCGGAAGCACCAGACCTGATGTGACAGCAATATTCAAAGCAAGGATGAATGGTAGATTCTTCTTATAAATATATAAGATAGATTCAAGGATGAATTGAACATATAAATTGGATTCTTCTTTTTTATCAAGAATCTCTAAATATATAGCAGAAGCACCAGACCAGATGTGACAGCAATATTCAAAGCAAGGATGAATGGTAGACTTATAAATATGTAAGATAGATTCTGTTGAGAAAATAACATAGAACGATACAGGGAACCTAGCAGCAAGCCTAGCAATTGATTCAATTTAATTTTTCCAAATATATTCTGAGTTTGAGACGGTTTATAATAAAAAAAGACTCTCATTTTGTTTCTTGCCAGAATGAAATCCTTAATGTTCAAGATGAAAATGCAATCGATTTTTCATTGATAACATTGCAATTTGTCACATCGAAGAGTATATTTAGGTATAACTTTTGACATTAAATAAATTTGTTCTGTAGACTACCTGTAACTGTTGTAGCATTCACTCAGATTCTTGAGCCGGCCGAAAGTTGACCAAGCGTATCAGATGTCGTATTGACTTGGACGTACAAATCCATGTTAGGGGTTTCAGCGGCAATTTGTATTCAAAAGCAGCCTCCAGCCGCATGTAAACACACTTTTAGGGTATTGAGACACTGTTTGAATTTAAAGACTGGATGCCAACATTCTACTAGACTAGTTGCCAACCAGGTCTATAGGGCTCAGTAAGTTCTTTTTTACCTACAGCGACAGGGAGAAGAAATGGATTTATACCTTTCGTAAGAGAATGTAATAAGCTCGACTCGAATTCGAACTCGGCTCTCCGATTCCTCAGTCCAATCGGCTATCCATTGCTCCAACACATGCCTCTTTTTTGTTTCTTTTTAAAAAGAAGGATGATAAAAAAATTGCCAAAATTAAAAAAGAAAGGCGTTGCTCTGATTTTAAAACGATTTTTAATAAGAAAGAAACACAAAAAAGTCTCTTTTTGTTTCTAGCCAGAACAAGATGGCGACGTAATCGATTTATGGGTGATCCCGTTGCAATTTGTCTCATCGAAGGTATGTCTTTATAAACTTTTTGATATTAAACAAATATATAGCATGTAATTACTGAGAATGTCATAGACAAGGCTTGTAAGTAACGAGCAAGGTCTAAGGAAAATGGTAACAAAAGGTACATTTACAACCAGAATAAAACTGTTTAAAATATAATGAATAAATAAGGCTTGGGAAATTTAACACTTATGCATTGAAGGCAAGAGTGACATAGTGAAAAATGCGAGTAACCTACCTAAAGAGCTAGTGCAAATTAAAAAAAAAATCATTTTATCACAAGCAAGGCATTAAATAAGAGGCAAGGATTTGATTGGAATGGAAGATACCGAGAAGTCTTTAAAAGAACATGATGCAGGAAACCAGAAAATGGCAATTGACGTTGCATTTAAATAATTGAAGATGGTAGGCGGCTAAGAAGCAAGGAATCGGGAGAGAGTTTCAGAGATGAAAAGGGCAAGAACGCATTCTATTAGAATAGAAATTACGGTTACATCCAGCTGTTTCAATAGTAAAACAATGGGATTGTTATGGTCCGGTTCCTTGTACCCCGGGTGATAGTCCAAGGTAGAACCAATAGAGAAGAACTCGAATACGTATATGGAAAAACACAGATATATTACAAACAGGAATATATACAGAAAAGTAGAAAGTGTTAGTACGAACAATCAGGTTTAGTAGTAATTGTCTGAACGCGACTCTGTTCGGACTGCCTCTGACTCGACTGACTGACTCTCTCGCTCTGACTGACAGACTCCTTACGGACCTTACTCCAAACTTCAGACTGAACAGTATTTAGTCACCCCCCCCCCCACGAGGGTATCATGTGGCACAAGGCCAGTTTAACGTGGGATCTCCGAGCCCGTGGGCTCGGCCAAAGATATGCCCATTGAACACGTATAAACGGGTTCAGGGTCGGTTTACCTCCCCGAAAGAGAATCCGCCCTTCGGCGTGGCCTCGTTCGGGTTCCTCCCCGCCCGAAGGCAGAGAGTCAACCGATCAGCCGATCAGCCGGTCGCCCGACTTCGGACTGAACTCCCTGCTTCCTCTTGAGGCGCAGTATTTATTACGTATGGAATAGTCCATTATGTTATTATTGGTAAGGTCCCATAACAGGCACCTAATAGCCAATCCCTTTAATTCATTTGGTTGCGACATTAAGGAAGTGAGCTCATTAGAACAAATGCCAAATTCATGCAGGGTAGCAAAAAAGACAAATATTGTTAAGAGCTACAAAGGAGAGGAAATTTAGGAATGCCATAATTGCCCACCTCCAGGAGGGACACGGTATATAGAAGAAGTGATATAGCGATATATAATTTTGTATAATGTTCTATATCAACAAACAGTATTTAGAAAAAATATGATAAACTGTAAAAAGGATGAAACGTAAAAAAAAAAAAAATCCTTTCAAGTTTGTCATATTTTTCTAAATATATAAGTATACGATTAATCCCAGGAAATACCATAGGTCAGAATGGAATTTAATATCCATAAGGAAACTTTGCTCAAAGAGAAGCTGATTTTATATTATATAAATATGTTCTGTAGAATACCTATATTTGTTGCAGCATTCAACCGGGATCTGTTGAGCCGGCTCCGTCAAACGAATCTGCTGCACACGAACAAAAGCTGGCCAAGCGTAGCAGAGGTCGTATTCATTCGGACGTGCAAATCCCTATCAGGAGTTTATGTGGAGATTTGGATTCACAAGCGGTCCCCAGTCGCATATATACACGCGTTTAGGAGAGTGCGATCCTGTTTGATATGTACTGAACTTACCCAAGGAGATGCCAAAGTAGGCTTCTTCACTCTGTTTTCGATGAGAGGATCAAGATAAATGACAAAGTTAATCTGGAAGGTAAACGTAGCCACCAGGCGTAGAATCGCACCTTAGGTGATGTCTGGACGCTTCCAACATACAAACATGTTGACCGAATCAGTCGTGCTCAGGATGTTCACATGTGGGATGACCGGATGTCAAGAAGTTCTACAAGCGCCCCTCCCGGGAGGAAAACGATACAGAGTCTCTTACATCCACGCAGGCAAAAGATCTATATTCAAAAAAGATTCCGACAGCCGATATAAACTGACAACGTCCAGAAGTGAATCAATTCTTCATTTTACGCCTGAAAGATTTAGTGTCGTATTCCTGTTCGTGATATAACGTTACAAAAGAAAATATTTCATCTATGCAGATGATACCACAATTTATGGGTGCACCGCCAAAACAAAGATGACCAAAGTCTGTCAGCTGATCTCTCCTTTGATCTAGCTCTAACAGATCAATAAAGAAAAAAAAAACAGGCCTGTAACTTTCACTACTTCTAAAATCGGGCTACTATCACCAGCGATTGAACTCTGAACTTTATCCGCCACAATGAACTGTTGCGCTCTCAACACATGGTTTGGTATTACGGCCACATCACGTTGAAACACCGGGCCCTGTACGATCACCGAAGTTAAGCAACGTCGTGCCTGGTCAGCACCTACATGAGTGACCGCTTGGGAATACCAGGTGCTGTAATCTTGGATGTGAGGATGGTGTAATGGATAACGATTCAGAATTGGAAATCGGAGAGACGCGTTCCAATTCCAGTCTGATTGTTTATGTTCACTTACGCTCAACTACCCTTTGGAAATGTATGAATCCACCTTTTCTCTCCAAACTATGGGTTAATTAGTAAAACTTGTATCACTAAATGGTTATTATCTAAAAAAAAAATCTAAAAATATTTTCTGGCTGAAGGTTGATAAGCCGTTGAAAACAAATCAATCAATCAATGAAATACTGATTAACTACACACGCATACATTTATTTATTTTTCTCTGGAATATAAATATATAGAAAATACTGCGGCCAATATGTGAGGGATCAGTTTATGTGTTGATAATAATAGAGAATTGATCCCCCACTTTATATCCACATTATAATTTCTTGTTTAACAAATTCTGATTATGTATGAATCCATTCTTCTATCCTCGCCTATAGGTTAATTAATATTATTCATTATTATCTCAAAAAAGATCTTACAGTCTAAAAATATTTCCTGGCTTTAAATAACCTGCAAAGGGTTGATAAGCAGTAGACGACGAATCAATCAACTTATTCTTGAAACTTCTGTTAGGACTCAAGTTCATCGCAGTCCTCTAGTGGAACTCATATAGACAATCCACCGCTAAAATACTGGAAATATGGTCGTTTTTGTACTGCTACAGAAAGTACTTGATTCCTTCTGCCATGCTTTTTCGTTACAAAAGACAGATCAGACCAAAAATGGAGTATTGCTACCGTTTCTGGGCTGGGGGTACCCAATCCACACTTTCTAGCTTTGACATACTTCAAAATTATTTGTGTGGCCTTGTGGGGTATTACTTATTTCCCGACCTACAACCTTTTTGCCCACAGAGGAAACTTCGTAAGCTTATCGCCACCCTATCGTTAATTTTATGGCAAATGTTCAGACGATCTCCATTCTTTAGTGCTATCAACTCAAACCTTTACTGTCAAGATCATCCTTACCCTTACTACGCCCACAGGGTTTAATCACCCTCATTACTTACGCATTTCTCTGGTAAGGAAGATATTCCACTCAGAAAGCTTCTTCCCAACATCAGGCTGCTTTGTATGCTCCCATGTGGATGCTTTCCCAATAACACTTATCCCCATTCTTTTGACTTGAGTAGGGGCTTAGCCCTTGTTCTCTGTTTAGTATTGGGCTTCCTTCTATCTTCTAAAGTATACTTCAACTCTATACTTCTAATGTCCCTGCCACAACTCTGAAATTTTGTCACTGCTTCACTTCTTGTTCTTTCTTACGCTAATAATACTCCACGCAGTAACCCTCTACCTTGAGTGGCTCTTGGGCCTTGTATTGGGTGAACATTATTAAAAATAACAATCAAAACTCCCCTGAAATCCTAACTTCTTCTAGGCTTTATCTCTCCTCGTAATCCAAACTTTGTATTCCCTTCTTTTACTTTCATATAACTCATCTCATTCAGTAATACTGTACCCCTTAGCGTCTCTTCTGTATTTTATTGGGCGAATTTCAAAGAAACACTATTTAAAACTTTTTATTTACATTATTCGGACTATTGTCCTCATCTTGTCGCCATATTTATTACAACCTTTCGGCCGTTTTACGCTCCGGCCTTCTTCAGGTGGTTGGAATGTCGAACTGAACCCTTTATTTCTCTCACTTTCATTTACACATGCCATGTTTAATGGATGTCAGTTATCAGTTATCTCCTGTTAATTTCCCCTGTGAAAGTTCTCCACTGCCTTAACTGGGTATTAAACTCACACTCTTTGTGTCCTATCACTGGATCTAACCAACGCTTCAAGGACACATCGCACAGTGGATAAAGGCGTTGGTTAGATCCAGTGACAGGACACAAAGAGTGTGAGTTCAATACCCAGTTAAGGCAGTAGAGAACTTTCACAGGGAAAATTAACAGGGGATAACTGATAACTAACATCCATCAAACATGGCATGTGGAACTAGAACAGTCTACCCCAGTGAGCGAAATAAAGGGTTCAGTTCGACATTCTAATTCCACGTGCCATGTTTGATGGATGTCAGTTATCAGTTATCTCCTGTTAATTTTCCCTCTGAAAGTTCTCCACTGCCTTAACCGGAATAAAGGGTTCGGTTCGACATTCCAACCACCTGAAGAAGGCCGGGCGTACAACGGCCGAAACGTTGTAATAAATATGGCGACAAAAATGAGGACAATAGTCCGAATAATGTAAATAATGTACATAATGCCTCATCTCAGAAATATAGACTGATATTAAAACTTCTTTCTTTCTTATTTTTCCCATTCGGTTTAAAACAATGATAAATCCTCATCAGGTCAACATTTCTACCGTTCACAGTACATTTAAATATTTCCGACAATTGGGAATATCGATGTAGTGTAACGATTAGCAAGCTTGTCTCGCTAGATCATTTAAAACTGAGCAGTGAGTTCGATGCTCACTGGATGCTCCTTTGAACTGTATTTTTGGTAAATTTGCGCATTTATGAAACAAAAAATTGCGGCTATTTGCATGACATCTTAATGTATAATTAGTTCAATAAATCTTCTAAGTAATATATGGTCATATACGGAAACATTATGTCACTTATTAAATGAAAATGAATGCATCTCAGATATTCAATGGTAATTCAACACTTGGGCCACATTATTGGGCTAAAAGAAAAGTTCATTTCATGAGACCAACAGATAAAAAATATAGAATAAGTAATCTTCAAAACTTATCATCCAAATTATCAAAAATGTGGTACAAGGCCAATAGGGGCGATAGGAGAAGGCTTGTATTCAACATTTCTCATTTTAAACTTAGCTAGCCTCGATTTCTGACTCAAACTCACCACATCTATCTTACACCAAAACAATACATTGTTACGTACAATTCTTACTACAGCCACCATAATACCTCTAAGTCTCTATGTAGTCTTAACTAGTTCCCATATGTACAATTTGTCTGTGCTGGGGATAAAAATAAAACGATTTAAACATGAAACCCCAAATGAATACAATTTATACACAAGAAACTAAACAAAATATTGGTAGTATCATAGACGAAAGTGATATTTATTCTGTTTCAAACAGAAATGTGGCACATGGCCGAAAAGGAGATTGGGAAAAGGACAGTCTTCTTCTCTCTTAATTATAACTTAGCTAGTCGCAAACACTGACCCAATAGTACGAGCAATATTCCTTACACCAAAACAACACATTCATACGTACCTTTCTTACTACAACCACCATAATACCTCTTTGTCTCTATGAAAATATTAATTAGTCCCCATATTTACAATTCAATGTCTGTCGGGGGAGGGGAATAAAACAACAATTCTAAAAAACTAGCCCCAATGAGTATTTACAATATGAATACAAAAACTATTTCCAAGAAACAAAAGAAAATAAGATTAGTAATAAAACCCCCCACAATCATAGAGGAAAGTTCATCAGAACAATTACCATGGAAGTATTTATAGAAAAGGCACAGGGAAGCTATATAATGGCGGTGGAAAAGTGAAGCCGAGATGTCAGGTCAGGACCAATAACATTGCCGATTCTTTAGGTTTGTGGCAGCAATATTTAAAACAAGGGTGAATAGTAAACTTCTAACTATGTAAGGTAGATTTTGGAAAGAAAATTGTCTAGCACGACATAGTGAATCAACTTTCTTCGTTACCAGACTTAGCAATTGATTCAATATACTCTTTTCACTTCATGTCAGTGGAAAACATTAATCTGAGAAGGCGCAATTAGTCACTCACATGGATTTGAAACCTCATTGGGGATCCATATGGTCTCAGATTGGAGCAGCTAGCCACTCTTGTAATTCATAGTTGTGTTTTCGATCTTCAATTTATGACGCAAAACTGATGCTTTATTTAAAGCTAGATCTTTTCCAAGAAGTCTTCATTGATTTCGAAATACTTTAAAAAAATCAGATATTTATCCGATTTTAATGAAACTTTCAGGATTTCTTATGAATGGATGAAATTGTTTATTAAAAGTTTCCCTTTTAGAAAATCTTTGTAAAGATATTTTTTACATCTGATATCACCCACTCGATTAATTTTTGCGAAATTTCGAGAAATTCTCTTTTGTATCGCTTAATGTTTGTATCTGTTATAAAGACATGTCTTCGGAGAATTTAAATCATCAGAATGTTTAGTAAAACAGAACCCCAGTTAAGAAATTATTCCCTGAATCGTAAAAAAAAAAAAAAAATACAATGAAACAAAAACTTTTTTATTCAGAAAAGTTTTTAATTGTTTTTATAAATGAAAAATATAGACATGTCCTAAGAAAAAAATTCGACGAATTATCAGTTTTTACAAGAATTGTTTTCATTTTTTAAACAATTTAATTCGAATAATTTGTAGTTTTAAATCTTTTAAAGTTCTGATCAATTTGTAGCGCTCAAGTGACGTTGTTATTAAATTAAAACTGTATTGACTAATCATAAATGGTAAGGTTCACTATCATTAAAGGATCCCAATATTTTAAAAATAATAATTTTTTTGTGTGTGCGTGTCGATTTTTGTAAAATCTTTCTTTCTTTCCTTTTTCGTTCTTTCTTTCTTTTCTTTTGCTTTCTTTCTCAAATCCATCTTTCTTTCTTTTTCTTTCTTTCTTTCTTTCTTTCTTTCTTTCGCAAAGGCCTATTTCTTTCCTTCGTTATTTCTTTCGTTCTTTCTTTTTCTTTCTCAAATTCCACTTTTTGCTTTCTTTCTCAAATCCATCTTTCTTTCTTTCTTTCTTTCTTTATTTCTTTCTTTCTTTCATTCTTTCTTTCGCAAAGGCATATTTCTTTCTTTCTTTTTTCTTTCTTTTTCTTTCTCAAATTCACTTTTTTTCTTTCTCAAAATCTTTCTTTTCTTTCTTTCTTTCTTTCTTTCTTTTTTTTTTCTTTCTTTGTGTTATTTTTTCGTTCTTTCTTTTTCTTTTAAACTTTTTGCTTTCTTTCTCAAACTTTCTTTTTCTTTCTTTCAATTTCTTTTTCCTTCGTTATTCTTTTGTTCTTTCTTTTTCTTTCTCAAATTCCACTTTTTGTCTAATCTTTCTTTCTTTTTTCTTTTTTTCTTTCTTTCATTCATTCTTTCTTTTTTTTCTTTCCTTCGTTATTTCTTTTGTTCTTTCTTTTTCTTTCTCAAATTCCTCTTTTTTCTTTCTTTCTCAAATCCCTTTCTCTCTTTCTTTCTTTCTTTCTTTCTTTCTTTCTTTCATTCTTTCTTTCAAAATATTTCTTTCTTCGTTATTTCTTTCGTTCTTTTCTTTTTTTTCTTTCTCAAATTACCTTTCTTTCTCAAATCTTTTCTTTCTTTTTTCTTTTTTCTTTTTTCTTTTCTTTTTTCTTTTTTTTTTTTTCTTTCTTTCATAAAGGCTTTCTTTTTCGTTCCTTTTTTTTTTTCTTTCTCAAAAGATTTCTTTTCAAATCCATCTTTCCTTTCTTTCTTTCTTTTTTCTTTCTTTTTTTAACGATTTCCTCCTTCTTTCTTTCTTTCTTTCTTTTTTCTTTCTTTCTTTGTGCATGTTTTCCCTTCTTTCTTTCTTTCTTTTCTTTCTTTCTTTTTTCTTTGTTTTTCTTTGATTTCCCTTCTTTTCTTTCTTTCTTTCTTTCTTTTCTTTCTTTCTTTCTTTTTTTTCTTTCTTTGTCTGATTTCCCTTCTTTTTTCTTTCTTCTTTTTTTTCTTTCTTTCTTTTCTTTCTTTCTTTCTTTCTTTCTTTCTTTCTTTCTTTCTTTCTTTTCTTTCTTTCGCAAAAATTTCTTTCCTTCGTTATTTCTTTCGTTCTTTCTTTTCTTTCTCAAATTCCACTTTTTGCTTTCTTTCTCAAATCCATCTTTCTTTCTTTCTTTCTTTGTCCATGATTTCCCTTCTTTCTTTCTTTCTTTCTTTCTTTCTTTCTTTCTTTGTCCATGATTTCCCTTCTTTCTTTCTTTCTTTCTTTTCTTTCTTTCTTTCTTTCTTTCTTTGCCCATGATTTCCCTTCTTTCTTTCTTTCTTTCTTTCTTTTTTCTTTCTTTCGCAAAGTCCTATTTCTTTCCTTCGTTATTTCTTTCGTTCTTTCTTTTTCTTTCTCAAATTCCACTTTTTGATTTCTTTTTCAAATCCATCTTTCTTTCTTTCTTTCTTTCTTTCTTTCTTTCTTTCTTTCTTTCTTTGTCCATGATTTCCCTTCTTTCTTTCTTTCTTTCTTTCTTTCTTTGTCCATGATTTCCGTTCTTTCTTTCTTTCTTTCTTTCTTTCTTTCTTTCGCAAAGGCATATTTATTTCCTTCGTTATTTCTTTCGTTCTTTCTTTTTCTTTCTCAAATTCCACTTTTTGCTTTCTTTCTCAAATCCATCTTTCTTTCTTTCTTTCTTTCTTTCTTTCTTTCTTTTTTCTTTGTGCATGATTTCCTTCTTTCTTTCTTTCTTTTTTCTTTCTTTTCTTTTTTTTTCTTTCTTTCTTTCTTTTCTTTCTTTCTTTGACAATTTCCCTTCTTTCTTTCTTCTTTTTTCTTTTTTCTTTTTTTTCTTTCTTTTCTTTCTTTCTTTCTTTCTTTCTTTCTTTCTTTTTTTCTTTTCAAAAATAATTTCTTTCGTTCTTTCTTTTTCTTTCTCAAATTCCAAAAATCCATCTTTTTTTTTTTCTTTCTTTCTTTCTTTCGCAAAGGCCTATTTCTTTCCCGTTATTTCTTTGTTCTTTCTTTTATGTCAAAGATGACAAATCCAGATTAATTTCGTTGCTTTTTTCTTTCATTCTTTCAAAGGCATTTTATTTCTTTCTGTTCTTTCTTTTTCTTTCTCAAATCCACTTTTTGCTTTGTTTTCTCAAATCCATCTTTCTTTTTTTTTCTTACTTTCTTTATTTCTTTCTTTCTTTTCATTCTTTTCTTTTCTGCAAAAGGATATTTTCTTTCCTTCGTTTTTCTTTTCGTTCTTTCTTTTTTTTTTCAAATTCACTTTTTGCTTTTTTATCTTTCTTTCTTTCTTTCTTTCTTTCTTTCTTTCTTTTTTTTTCTTTCTTTGTTTCTTTCCTTCGTTATTTCTTTCGTTCTTTCTTTTTCCTTCTCAAATTCCACTTTTTGATTTCTTTTTCAAATCCATCTTTCTTTCTTTCTTTCTTTCTTTCTTTCTTTCTTTGTCCATGATTTCCCTTCTTTCTTTCTTTCTTTCTTTCTTTCTTTCTTTCTTTCTTTCTTTTGTGCATGATTTCCCTTCTTTCACTTTCTTTCTTTCTTTCTTCTTTCTTTCTTTTCTTTGTCCATGATTTCCCTCTTTCTTTCTTTCTTTTTTCTTTTCTTTCTTTCTTTCTTTTCTTTTTTTCTTTCTTTTCTTTGTCCATGATTTCCCTTCTTTCTTTCTTTCCTTTTTTTTCTTTTCTTTCTTTCTTTCTTTCTTTCTTTCTTTCTTTCTTTCGCAAAGTCCTAATTTCCTTCGTTATTTCTTTCGTTCTTTTTTCTTTCTCAAATTCCACTTTTTGCTTTTTTCTCAAATCCATCGTTTTCTTTTCTTTCTTTCTTTGTTGATTTCCCTTCTTTCTTTTTTTTCTTTCTGAAACTTTTTCTTTCTTTTGTCCAGATTTCCTTTCTTTTCTTTCTTTCTTTCTTTCTTTTCTTTTCTTGCTTTTCCTTTGCTTATTTCCCTTCTTTCTTTCTTTCTTTCTTTCTTTTTTTTCTTTTTTCAAAAATTTCTTTGTAAATTCCAACAAATCCATCTTTCTTTCTTTCTTTTCTTTCTTTCTTTCTTTCTTTCTTTCTTTGTCCATTTCCCTTCTTTCTTTCTTTCTTTCTTTTTCAATGAAACCCGTTCTTTTTTTTATTGCCCTTCCTTCTTTCTTTCTTTCTTTTTCTTTCTTTCTAAAAAGGCATATTTATTTCCTTCATTATTTCTTTCGTTCTTTCTTTTTCTTTTCAAATTCCACTTTTTGCTTTCTTTCTCAAATCCATTTCTTTCGTTTTTTTCTTTTATGATTTCCCTTCTTTCTTTCTTTCTTTCTTTCTTTCTTTCTTTCTACGTCCTTTGTAAGTGATTTCCCTTCTTTCTTTCTTTCTTTCTTTCTTTTTCTTTCTTTTAAATTTTCGTTAAGTTCCTTCTTTCCAAATTCTTTTTTTATCAAATATCCCTAGTTGTCTCTTTCTTTTTGAGTTTTCAAACTCCTCTTCTCTCTCTCTTTCTTTTCTTTGTGTTCTTTTTTAAACAACCTTCTCTCTTTCTCAAATTCTTTTTTTGTCTATTCTTTTTTTCTTTTAGAGTCCTTTTTCTTTTTTATTTCTTTTTTTTCTTTTTTTCTTTCTCAAATTGCTTTTTTCTTTCTTTCTCAAATCCCCTTTCTCTTTCTTTCTTTCTTTCTTTCTTTCTTTCTTTCTTTTACAAGGCTTTTGTCTTTTATGATCAAATTCTTATTCATTCAATCATTTACTTTATTTCTGAAGTCCTATTTCTTTTTTTATAAACACATACCTCAACATTATTTTGTTTGTTTGTTTTCTTTTTTTCTTTCTGTCTTAAAATCAATTCTTGCCATTGAAACTCAAAAGTTTTTGCAATGGGATCGCAATTTTCAAAAAAAAACAATCGTCAATCGCCATCTTGTTTTCTGAAACCCGTTTTTCATTCTGGCCTGAATTTTTTTTTAAAAGGAGCTTTTTTTTTTGTTTTTCATTTTTTTACCTTAGTTAAATTTTCGCCTTCTTTTTTCAAAATCCCAGAGTTTTAACTGTCTTTCTTTTCCATTTAAATGTATTTTTGTTTTTTCTTTCATTTGATACTTACAAATATGATATTTAATACTATGTAAGTTTATAATACCTAAATATATTCTTTCGATCCGATAATGGGATAAAAAAAAAAATTAATCTTGTTCACTTTTCATTCTGGCCTGAAAAAAAAAGTTTTTTTTGTGTTTTTTTTTATTAAAATCAAAATCAGAATAATATCTTTGTCCATTTCTAGTTTTTTTTTTTTTTCTCATTCACTTTCCCACCCACTAACCTTGCCTCTTTGTGATATTATCACCATGCTTGGGGTGAAATGATTTAAAAAAACATCTCTACTGGTTTTAAAATACTCGTCATCACATAAACGAAATTTATTTCAAATGTCATCCTTATATTTTATATGGCCTTCTTTTAAAACGAATTTTATATAAACGATTGCAAAATCATCGCATTATGAGGAAACCAATAAGGCTTTAGACGTACGTGATTACTTTCAAATTCATGCTAGTCTAGCGTGCTAAAATAAATAAATATACTATTGTTTTGGTTGGCTGACATCGGCCACACCTATTACAGATTTATACCATTTAAAGTGTTTGGTGTCAACAAGCGTTAAAAAATTATTTTCGGTGCATTTATTTTGGGATGATTTTTATATTTGTACATGTTTTTTTTTTTTGTTTTGTTTGAAACGAATCTTTTTAACCTGCCAACCCTCCTTGCATTCTATCTATCTTTCGTTTCTCTGAACACAAAAAAAGGTCTTCTTTACCAGACTTTTTTCCAGACGTCATCATTATGTGATGGAACTCCCCCACCCCCAAAAAAAACTTTTCGAAAAAATAAATTCATAGGAAGAAATAAGAATTAAAGAAAATGTACTGAGTTTTTTTTTTAATCAAATGCATTGTGTACTTTGTGAACTTGTAAAATCAAATAACAGATGCTATAGATACTTTCGATAAGGGATAACCAAATTTTTTTCTTTGGAAGGAGTGAAGCAAGTCCTAAACGTATTTCTGAATAAATATGTTATTAATTCACACACCATCTTTTTCTTGATTCCTTTTAGTTATATAGGATAGACTAAAAGGCGAGCAACCCCCAAATCCTAAACGGTGGAATAAAAGTATGAAGAGTGTAACGCATAACGGATATGGAATAGAAGGTACCATTCAAAATTATAAGAAATTCAGTGACAGTTCGTTTCAGTTTCATATCTCGATTCTGCATGTCTCATTCTATCTATGCCACAGAAGAAGGTTATGAAATCCAGTGTGGGTCACTTCTTGGCAAGTTGAGGTCCATCTAAAACAAATTCACGCCATTGGCACGTTTTTCTACTATGATTTTCCTTCACCTCTAACCAAATCTTGCAAAGCCAAACAGTGATAGGGAATGGATGATGAGAGAAGGTTTTGGTGAAACTGGAAACTTCTAGTTCTGAACCTGCATGTTAACAGTGAATATAGTCAACAACACCATCATCATAAAGAAAGCGATCAGCAAAGAAGAAATTCAATTCTTCGATACAAGATAAAACCGACAACGGTAATATAGCATAATATAAAAAAGAAACATCGTATTTTAAAGTATCCTTTTTTTAATAACAGAAACAGAATTAGTGAACTATTCGAAAATCTGATGATAAAATGTAAAATGCAAAACACAACGTCACAACACGTGACATGAAAGAACATCATACTATAAAATACCATGGTATAATTCCGAAAATAAGACTCCGTGGTAAGCAAACGTCTAATTCTATTGAAAAGAACTTTACTTCCTGTTGACTGCCAATATGGCTGAAGGTATGAATGTTGTCTCGGGCGAAGGAACGTTTCTTACGCTTGGAAGAAAACAAGATTTGTGTCGTTCGCATTAAATCAGATAACGTGAATTTACTGCAAAAACACACGCGCATGTGTTTGTGTCTGTGTCTTTGTGTGTGTGTGTCTCTCTCTCTCTGTCTCTGTGTGTGCGTTTGTTTAAAAGTCGGTGTTGGAAAGTTCTCAGCCAGATCCAGTTACAAAAATGTAAGCAAACGATGAGATCTTTATTTAGTGGGCTTTCTTAACTCAACCGAAAATTTTCAGTTCTCAATCGTGTTTACACACAGAGACGCACATGTATATATATGTGGGGCATGCTTGCGTGTGCGTGCGTGTGTGTGCGTCTTAGAATTATGAATTTACAATTGAAAAATACCGTTTAAAAACCTCACCCCTGAAGACTGGAAATTTTACCAAGAAACTCCGAAGTCGGGATAAAATCGATATTTAAAGCTTAAGTAATCTTTTTCATATAATAATAATAATAATAATAATATATCTATATATCTATATCTATCTCTCTCTCTCTCTCTATATATATATATATATATATATATATATATATATATATATATTGAAAAGAGTTTTTATTCAATATTAGTTTTTATTATTATAAACGGTATTTTTAGAAGATACATATGTTTGAGTACAATAAGAAATAAGGATAGAAACTCAAACCTGTGTAACCACTAAAATAACGTTTATAGCAAGAATATATATATATATATATATATATATATATATATATAATAACAATTATGATTTAGAAAAAACGACAATGACTGTCTGTTTTATTTTTTATTGTATTTTTACCAATTTTCGAATAAGCTGCTTTGTATTGGAATCCAAATTGTGGATAAACTGTCCGAGGCTGATGTCTGTGTTGTTGATTGTTCATGTACTTTCGACGGTCTTAGTCAGGTTCAAAAACCAATGTAGTTTCTGTGTGATCCCATTTCCTTTGTCTACTTCAATATTATTCTAAAAAATATAATTAGTTAATTATTAAGAAACTTCATTAGAAACCCTTTAAAATGAGCATTTGCAAGTTCCACTTCAAGTGTTTTAAATAGACGGGATAGTACACACACTTCCCCGGTTTTTTGAACAGGTTAGAGGTTTATCTCTTCTTCCCTGTTTAGGGGTCAGTTTCCGGTTCCTTCAAACGTCTTTTTATTCTCCCAGTAGTAGCCCTATTCGTCTTAGTGGCTCCTTTCGTCTTAGTGGCCCCATTCGTCTTAGTGGCCCCTTTCGTCCTAGTGGCCCCATTCGTCTTAGTGGCCCCTTTCGTCTTAGTGGCACCTTTCGTCTTAGTGGCTCCTTTCGTCTTAGTGGCCCCATTCGTCTTAGGGGCCCTTTCGACTTAGTGGCCCCATTCGTCTTAGTGGCCCCTTTCGTCTTAGTGGCCCCATTCGTCTTAGTGGCCCCTTTCGTCTTAGTGGCCCCATTCGTCTTAGTGGCCCCTTTCGTCTTAGTGGCACCTTTCGTCTTAGTGGCTCCTTTCGTCTTAGTGGCCCCATTCGTCTTAGTGGCTCCTTTCGTCTTAGTGGCACCTTTCGTCTTAGTGGCCCCATTCGTCTTAGTGGCCCCTTTCGTCTTAGTGGCCCCATTCGTCTTAGTGGCCCCTTTCGTCTTAGTGCCCCCTTTCGTCTTAGTGGCCCCATTCGTCTTAGTGGCCCCTTTCGTCTTAGTGCTCCCTTTCGTCTTAGTGGCCCCATTCGTCTTAGTAGCATGATCGCTTTGCTTGTGGTGAATTAATTATTTAAAAAAAATAGACAAGTGGCTGGATTAAAAAACAAGAAAAAACTACAATATAACAGCTTAAATTTAGAGGTGGGAGAAAAATCTTGAATATTTAATAAAAAGGATGTTTGGAGTCATGATGCTTCGCCTTGATTCTTCTTCGAAAAAGAATAATCACACCCTGCATTATAAAAACAGAATGTTAACCTAATAATCGCATTGTTAACCTAAATAATACCAAGAGTCACTTATTTTCGGTGGGGGTCAATGACAAAAGCAAAAAAAAAAAAAAAAAAATCTTCGACGTGACAGATCACGTAACTAAAAAAATTCGGTCATTGCACGTTTCTTTAGGCTGTTATATTAATGTGGGAGTCTATTTTGGAATCGTCAGTTTAAAAGCTGGGGTTTCACATGATAAATAATAACACAAAATATATAAGTTTTTTTTTAGGTTCAGGTTCAAAATCGTAGCATTGGAATTTGATTCCAGTGATTAGTGAAAGACATATAGCACGGCCTTTTAAAATTTAGAATTTCCTGAAGTTTTTCAAATTGAATATAAGCAAGATGAATGGCACAAGCACATCATTATTGAATCATCATGTCATCAAATAAGGCCTTCGTTTACTTCAAAGGGAATTATACTGAACAATTTAGCTATATTATGATGTAATATGTTATACAGTGCAGTGATTTTAGTGAGATTTTCAATAAACAATGCAAATTTAAAATATTTTGTATTATAATTTCTGCCCAGCATTATTATTGTGTTATGTACACTTTTATTTTTTTTTTTATTAATTAGGATCTAACAAATGGTGTAAGATCATATTCACTGAGTAACCTTATTAGTAAACTTTTACAATTTTTTTTACAGTTTTTACTTATCAAATACAGTAAAAAAATTACACATTTGCTTGTGGTGATTCATAATTAGAATTCTGATTTGTATATATTTGTATAGTAAAACTTTGAAAGTTTGTAAAAGAAAACCTGCAGAAATTAGGTATTTTTGTATTTATTCGGTCGCTCTTTAAAAGTTAAATGCCCCAAAATTATTAAAAGCTATGAATCTAATTTTTGTTGGCATGACTTTTTGTATCGTATCACAGTTTTCACACCGAATGCAATATTGGTTTTCCTTATAAAAGTGAAAAATATCAACCTGCCCTACTGAAACAACCATATAAGTCACTATCACTAGATAAGGATTGCCAACTAAATCTGAAGAGATTCTAACTACTCATTAGCACAGCAACTAGTTTTGAATGCAGATTTGTCCTTCTCATAAACCGGTTGCCAACCAAGGTACAGTTCTGCATACTATTTAACACTATTTTACCCTATTTTGACCTCCGCAAAAAAATTCAAATACCCATTCTTTCCCGACGTGGGCGATCAAACTCTCCACAAATTCCTATCTTTTATTTGCCCAAGTTATTCTTTCCCCTTTTTGTTCTGCTATCCATTTACTCAGACTCACTATTTTCATTTGCTTCTCTTACCTGCAATGGGTAAGAGAAGCTACTTCTCAAAGCCTTCTTTCCTCATGTCAACGACGTCTAAAGTGCCGCGGGCGAGTGGTTCCAAAATCAGAGAGCTCCATGGCCACGTGCTGTATCCTAGTCTTGTGTTTGTCCGAACCGTTGTACCAAGCCCGAGGCGTCCATTATTTTCTGTTTTGGATTGAAGTAGGGAACTCGGTTCCTTTCTTCAAGACGACCCCGGTTTTAATTCATTTTCCTAGAATGGTTGTCAAACAGTTTGACATATTGTTTTACAAACAGTTGGGGGGTGGGAGAGATGGTTTCATACCTTTTCAAGAGTATTAGCACGTATGTGAATTTAATGAACTCGATTGGAATTCGATCTCTGCTCTCCGATTCCGGAATTTGAGCAGCTAATCATTACTCCACAGCTATAACTTTCTGAATGTTTATATACAGTTTTATTAGACTTCCTCGGCATTTACTGGTAAAATAAAATGTCTTTTGTTCAAGTATCTTGTACATCTTTGAAGAAATTGTTCGATATTCTCTGCAAATAATATATATTAGGTAACAGTCCGGCAATTCTTTCCTTAGTAGGCCTAGCATAGAAATAAACGCAATAAACACTAATAAAGAAAAGAAAAAAAAATGGCAAGTTTTCAACCGCAGCAGCAGCAGTCAAACATGGTCGACAGCAGCAGCAGCAATCAGATCATGGGCAACAGCAGCAGCTGTCAAAACATGGTCGACAGCAGCAGGAGTAGTCAAAACATGGCCAGCAGCAGTCAAAATATAGACGACAGCAGCAGTCAAATCATAGACGACAGCAGCAGCAGTCAAAACATGGGCGACAGCAGCTGCAACAGTCAAAACATGGGCGACAGCAGCTGCAACAGTCAAAATATGGGCGACAGCAGCTGCAACAGTCAAAACATGGGCAGCAGCAACTGCAACAGTCAAAATATGGGCAGCAGCAGCAGTCAGAACATCATAGACAGATGCAGCATTGCATTCACATTTTCTATATAAGCTGCAAGACCTAGTCCCACCTGCTATTTTACGCATAACTGGAACGAGAAGAAATGGATTCATACATTTTCCAAGGAGCAGCAGTTGCAACCCCTAATCAGCAGCCAGGTTAGGTTTAAGGCTATAGGTTCCCTATAGAAAATTATCCTACGGGACAATGGCCTAGTGGATAAAAACTTTTTTTAAAAATTTGGTTCAATCCCTGGGTCGGGTAGCTGAAACGGTACTAAATAAAATAAGAACTATGCGATATCCCTAGACATAGGCAGTGAAACGAGAACTGTAGATTAAATGAAGTTCTCACATTCCCTTGTAGATTACCCAGATCGATATGCACCTGAGGAAACAGTCGAAACGCTGTGAGGACAATAATATTTCAATCCATAAATTCTCTCAAACAGAAACTCTTTCTTTTTTCAAAGAACACTTTTTCTGATTTCAGCTTTCTCAGTTTCTGCGACGCATCCTTCACAATTCAATGCGTCTTCAGATTTCTATGTCACTTGTTACACTGGTAGATAAATTTTCGCAAGCGCTTTAATTGTATACCTCTTCAGTCCTTGTATATGGCAGTCAATGCTGAACACTTTTTCCACAGATGAAGAAAAACACGCTGGGAATACCATGGACCGAATATGTGAGCAACGCCGAAGTTCTAGAGACAATGGCAAAAAAAACAGAATACATGGTTGTCAGCAAAAGGGACAAGCCAACATAAAAATTACAAATTGGAGATAACAAATTAAATAAGTACAGGGTGACCACCACCCCAAATAAACATCATTTTGTAGTCTAACAACAGCCAATTCTCACTCAAACGATCTCAAATTTTAACAAAAAGTATAAAAAATAAGTTGAATATGTGCACTTATTTCAATAAGAATCTACTAGGAATATGGATCGGGCGTGCCAGTGATAATGATACTGTTGAAATAGCCAGCATGATCCCCTGAGGTTACATCTCATGATTTTTTTTCTATGGGGCTATGTGAAAGGACAGGTCTATATCCCCCTTTTTTCTTCAAGCCTACATGAACTTAAGCCGAGTCACTGAAGCGTGTAGGATATTATGCAAAACAACATTTACTTAAATAAATTATATCTATAAAAATAATGCATGAACAGAAAATATATTAAATTGTTGGACTTAATCCATTTCATTATATATATATATATATATATATATATATATATATATATATAGATAGATAGATAGATAGATAGATAAAAATTGAATTAAAAGATAGCTAGATAGAATATCCTTCCTCTATCGATATAGATTCTCTATATATATATATATATATATATATATACATATATTCATACAAAACTAATGCAAGGTTAATGATTTAAATGGCAAGACATCCATCTTGCAAACGATTCAAATAGTACACAAAACCTCTAAATCCGTTATGCATGAGTTGATCCTTGTTTATATAAATTTCTGCCGTATTAGTTGTTATTTAGCTTTCGTCTGTTCCTACAATTTATATAATAGATGTTGTTGTTTTTTTCTCTTGTTTTTAAGAACATCTTTCAATATTTTCGAGGACATCGAAAAATAGCTATTACGATGTCCGAAATGCTATTAAAAATAAAGTTATTGGTTTTTACGGCAAGGGTTAGGGTTAGGGTTAGGATTAGGGTTAGGGTTTGATTTAGAATTTTTTAAAATATTCAAAATCAAACTCAACGATGGTAAATATTTAAACCATTTAATGCATTATGAATAATTCATGTATTTGTAAATTGATTGCACGTTTATTGTAATATATATATATATATATATTATCTGTAGTCCCAATATTTAATTAAAGAAGAAACATGCACATTCAAAAACCTACAATATCCATATCACTTCATCCACAACGCAAGAAGAAAGGCATACAAAATATACAAACGAAATATAACTAACATAATCCGCAATAGTAAATCACATGAAAACAGATACATAATACTACCGACCAATTCTGCCACGTCCACTATCCAGAATAACCTATCTCATCTAAATAATCTTGAAATAGTCACAAACACTTCCGAAACCATTATGGATATAATAAGATCTTCAAACATTAATAACAATAATATTTCTGAAGCAGGCATTTATAAAATAAATTGCCAAAACTGTTCCTCCCAATATATTGGAGAAACAAGTAGAAGTTTAAACGCATTTATGAGCACAAAAGAGACCTCACAAAAACAAAGCTAATGCACTAGTCATACATAGAAATAAATACAACCATAATTTTGATTTTAAAAATGCTACACTCATAAAAAAAGAAAATAACTCACTCAGAAGGAAAATTCTAGACAGTGCAGCCATAGAAAATTACCCAAATATTAATCTACGCCCAGGTTTTTCCCCATTTCACCTTTCTTAACAAAATTACTGCTCTCACAGACAAATGCCCACAACAGATTCATAAAATCAAAAGAAAATAGTTGAATACATCAACACAGATATAATGACAATATTCTCCACACGTGACAAATACTGACGTTATTTTCAGTTAACAATATGAAAACAGCGTTTCTCCATATTCCAGTTGCTAAAAACATTCTCTTTTTTGTTTATATTAGTTACCCTGTTCAATTAAATTCATTTCGTATTTTGCTTTGATAAAGTCCACATTGGAGGAAACACGTCAGCAATTACTAGTTTTCCTATTGTCATATGTGTGTGTGTGTGTGTGTGCGTGTACAGAAAGAAATTAAGAAAGAAAGAAAGAAAGAAAGGCATAGACTGAGATAGATATAACCAGAATTACACAGATATATAAACAGAGTTAGATATTAAAAAAGAGAGTGAAATAGATAGCCAGGCCGCTGTTTTAAATTTAAACTAGCTAGATGCAACTGTAAGTCCTCAGCTAATAATCTCTTTTCTCGCCTGTAGAACTCCCTTCCTATTTCTTGTTTCTCTGCCACCTACAATCTTCAAAAATTTAAATGCAAAGCAAATCGCCATCTTCGGTCTTTCTGAAACCCATTCTTTTAATGTCCTTTCTCCTCACCAAAGTTTTCTTGTTCTCTTTCACTTCCAGTAACCCCTTACATCTTACTAGCATTATCGCCTTGCTTGGGGTGAAATGATAAATAAAACTACTCTATTTTTAATGAAGACGAGAACGGTCGTCAGGATGGTGGATATTTCTTTGACAATGTTAAGCAATACTAAATAAGCATCCCGTCTTCCACGCCTACCGGGCCGGCCCCAAAATACGTTAAAGAAACTCTTGCAAGCAATAAGGCTTTGTCGCAACCTTTATATTCCGATTTTATGTCTGGTCTATTAGGGAGAAACGACGGATAGGTTTTTATTTCATTACGGGCATCAGCTGAAGTGGCCAGGCCCGACCTGCGGTACAAGAGGCAGTTGGTGGGGGAAAGATGAAAAAGAGGCTTAGATGAACAGAGAAAGAGAGATTTAGAGAGATAGAAAGTGGGAGATGGGTGGGTGACGATGAAGAAGAGCGGTTACGAGATTGTTGTGTCATGAGAGTGGGGGTGGAGCCGCCGATCCGAAAGAAAACGAATAAAACAGGCGTAACGAATTGAAGAGATGCCTAAAGCAAATTTCTTTTTCATTCTAACCCTGAATATTGCCATTATTAGTCCAATACCCCCCAATTCTCCTCCCAAATAATAATAATAAGAATAATGAAAGCGTAAAATTTTCATTGCAGCTAAATTTTAAACTGTTGTTAACGACGATAATAATATTTATAATAATAATAATAACAATAATAATAAAATATTAATGAGTAGAATAAAATAATAATAAGAAAATAATAATAATAATAAAATGATAATGATATTAATATATTAATAATAATAATAAAAATAACAATAATAATAATGAAAGTTTGAAATTTTCATTGCTGCTAAATTTTAAACTGTTTTAACGACGATAATAATTGTAGTAGTTGTAGTAATATTAATAATAATAATAATGAGCGCTTAAAATTTTCATTGCTGTTAAATTTGAATCTGTTTTTAACGACTTTAATAATAATAATAATAATAATAATAATAATAATAATGAGAGTTTGAACCGATAGTAATCGCAGCTCTGGATCTCGAGAGAAAAGGAATGGGCAATTTTATTAACAGTGTCCCAGGTAACGTCAACATATTAGTTGCCCAGAAAATCGCCCTACTAAAAACATCGCATATACTAAGAAAA